AGTATAGCCAATATGTAGTGACTTGCATATTGTTAAGAATGTGGAGGTTTCTTTTACATTTCGCGAGCATATAAGATTGTTTATATGTGTATATAGTGCCACGTCTTTCTGAGATGACAAGGAGATCTCGATCGAATTAATATCGTGATAATTTATTGAAAAACAAGGATATATTTGGTTTAACAAGAAAAGCTTACATGATATATAGTGCAATTCAATCTGTTGCAAATAATTTCTACAAAAGATTATATATATATATAATACTGTAATCTCATCAATTGCAAATAGTTTTTTATTTCAATGTGAGCCTAAAATGAAAGAGTTGACATTCTACCAAATCTACAAGATATATTTTCAGAAATATCGTGCTTGAAAATATTCACCGTCCTTTTGTCCAGTGTACCTGATATAGGTGCAATTAGAAAAGGCTTGGAAGTACGATTTAGATTTTGAAACGACGTTTAAGCAGAAAATTCAACAAAATATATATCGTGATATATGTTTAATATCTCTAAATTTCAAATATTATTTATATGTTAAGGAAATAATAATTTTTTATGTTATCGTTGAACGTGTATTTATCTCGTATTTTATGATTACTCTTCCGATTTTTTAAACTTATGTTTATAAAGTTCCCACTCCCTTGAACAAATTGTATTGATACAATTTTTTAATATAATTTCAGTGATGATTTATGATTGAATAGCCGCGTTCAGCAGACACAACTGTTGAGTCCGTCTTATCAACACTATGTGTTGATTGGTTGGTTCTAAAAGTAAGAGCCAATCACGTTTGACTGTTACTGAGCGACTTGGTCTGCTAAACGCGCCCAATATGATTTAGATTGAGGTTATTGATATGATGACTGTGATATATAAATTCACTTGGATTTATTCCAGAGTCGAGAATTCTCTTTGCGTCAGCATAATCTATTAGCTAATAAAAAATTTTTAAAACATGTCTTTTAAATATACTATATGAATATGCGCTGTACTTTCGATAAAAAGACAAATTAATATATTTTTGCTTTTGATGGTTTAAAGTAAATATTTGAAGTCGAAAATTTAAGCAGATATATTTATATTTAAATCTAAGGGCCGGTCTCACAGTCTCCGATTAACGTGATTCTCCGATTAAACTCACTCTGCATCTCTTTCTA